GGCTCGGCTGAGATTGCCCAGGGCTCCGGCAAAGAAGTGTATCTCCGGATCACTAGAGCGCTATATTCCAGCACCAAAAACACCAGCGAGGTCCAGGACGTCGATAAGTCGCCTTCGCTGCTGGATTCTGACGAGATAGAGGACCCCGACCCAGCAATTGGGGGACATTTGGAGGAACAGCCGGATGAACGCCAAGTGGTATCTGGGCGTGTAGAATACCACGCGATATACTCTCGGTCTTGGCGCGTGCCCATCCTCTACCTCCGCCTCCACTCATCATCCTCTTCACTTACGGACGAGGTCATAATGGACACAGCCCAGGTTAGCCAGATGCTTGTGGATGACTGCTGCGTAAGAGAGGCAATAGGCGCAGTGGAGTTTGGTGGGGCACTGGGAATCCAAGACCACCCGGTGTTCGGAGTGCCGTTCATGTACCTCCACCCGTGCAACACGGCGACGCTTCTCCAGGCGGTCGCCTCAGCCAAGGAGGATATCCGTGTGGGAAAGAGCGAGTATGCGGCATCATGGCTAAGTCTCGTTGGCCCAGCAGTGGGTCTCTTCCTGCCGAGCACACCCCAGTGACCTTCTCTGCAAGCATAGAATGGGGTGTGAGCCTGCAGCACAATCCTGGTGCTATTAATAGAAGGCTGCTTCTTTGTTGCTTCTGTGTTGCTGTGCAGGAGTTTCCTCCGCTGTTATTGCTGTTGTTTGGGGATCACAACAGCGGCACGGCATAGGCCCAAATAGGAAGAGTTTCCTGCCAAACTGGGGTTGCACAGTAAAGGGCAGTGCTGCTGAAAGTGCTTGCATTTTTTCCCTAGTGCTCGTTAACCAGCGCTGCCGTTTGTTCTTGTTAGGAACAGGCCTTGGCTTCCTCTTCTCTTTCGCAAGCGCTACACTACCAGCACACTTTTATTTCGCCTATACACTCCAGCAGGCTGCTCCTTCTTGGCCTGTAGACGCACTTTTTGTCTCATACGAGCAGCAGGTCTCATATCGCGGTGGTGGGCACAGGAGCGCGTTATCCTCTGCCTCTGCTTATTGTTACTTATTGGCACCTGCTCCTGTTTCTTGTTTCTGTCTTGCTTGGCGCTGATTCACTTGCATTTATGCAGCTGGACCTTCTGTCTTGAAGTTTATCATTTCGCAAAAGCACCCTCTCAGCGCGCGGCTATTCTCGCCCCTCCTTCTCATTGTTGTTATTTGATACACGCCTTTTTTTATATTCAAACAAGGATGCCACAGCTATCGACTAGAAGGCTGCCAGTGTTTGCGCGCCAGGGCATAGATTTCGTGTGGAAGCGCGTGAAGCGGCACTGGTGGCTGGACAGAACCTGCATCCTCTTCCTGGTCGTCGTTGTCCTGGTATTTGGCCTCTCGTACTACTTCATGAACGTGATGGCCAACGTGGCATCGCAGCGCAGTAAGCTCATTGAAGATAGGCTGGGCATTCGGTTCGCGCTGCCCGACGTGTTCTTCGACTTTATCGGGTACATCGACATGCTGTGGATGACCGACATGTTTGACGCGCTGATGTTCGTGCCCACGGCGCTCCTTGTTCTGTCGCACGAGCGCCCGTGGCGTGTCGTCTCGCGCCTGCTCCTTGCGTGGGGCCTGGCGTCATTGATCCGCATCACGACAGTGGCTATTACATCGGTGCCGGATCCCAGACCCACCTGCCAGTATGCCCTGGGCAATGTGTTTACCAAGTTTACGCTGCACAGATGCGGTGATGCGATTTATTCGGGGCACACGCTGATTTTTGTCATCTGTGCGATGGTGTGGGCGTCGTTTGCACCAAAGAACTGGGGCGGCCGTATCCTGACATTTTTCATGTTCTGCCTCTCGATTGCCGGCTCGCTCGTGGTGATTGCCAATAGGGCGCACTACACGATTGATGTTCTGCTTGCGTGGTATATTGCGCCGGGGTCGTGGTACACGGTGGCGTGGTTCTGGTACTGGCATGTGACCAAGAAGGGGCGGCTGCTGAAGATCGAGTTCCCTGTCGAGGTTGGGCGCCATAAGGACTCGGACACGCAGGAGATGTGCGAGCATCGGAGGGTTATGCTCGGACTGATGCCTGATGGCACTCCCTACGACCCTGTCTCGCTGTACCTTAATGTCGTGCGCAGCGAGGCAGAGCTTACACCGCCACTGCAGTGCGAGGCTGCGCCCAGCACGCTGATGCAGACGGACCCCGAGAAGAGAGACTCGGCGGATATGCTGGATGAGCGTAAGACGGAGGAGTGCGTGGTGTCCGTGGGCAATAGCTCTGAGCCCCAGGCGCCTGCTGACGGTGCCATGGCTGGTGCTGATCTGGGCAGGGCGTTCGACGAGGACTTTGGCGAGGGCTCCAGGCCTCCTCAAAAGTGACCCGCCCCCGTAGTAGACAACAAAATCAATATAGTAACTCACTCATCCTTGTTTCATTCTATAGTTTCTAATTTCAACCAAGCACTGCCTCTTTCGTGGCTCGTCCCTAACACCAGAGGGCAAGGGCAGATGGTCAGACCACTTTGCCCATGGAAGATCGCCCGGGGTTTGTGTTGTGCGTCCTTTTGGTTTTTGGCTCCAGCTCTCTTACTCAGAACCCTCTTGGCGGACGGCCCAGAGCACGGTACTACGTCTGAGCTGCTCTTGAAACAGGACTTGGGTTCCATGGTAGTGCTGCTCTCAGTGCGCCTTTCTCCCATGCGCCAAGAAGGTGGTAGCGATGGCCAGCCGGCCCCCTGTTGGGCTAGTGGGCCCACATTGGCTTTCACGAGCAAGCGCTGCTGCTGCTGCTTCTCGCCCCACTGGTAAAGGATGGGCAATGTCCGACATATATTTTTCCTCTTTGCTCCGCACAGCCAAGCATCGAAGGTGCTTGGCTGTACAAGAAAGAACAGCAAACACCACAGGTCCCCAGGCCGATATTACTTCAGCAAACCCACCAACAGCTGTTCTTCTCGGGCTCTTGCGCGAACGAAGACGCGAGGCGTGCAAAGGAGTAGACGCAGAGCATCGCCCCATAGCAAGCAGCTACTGCTTATATAAACGGCTGCTCCTACTTTCACGCTCACCTGCTTTTCTGTATCACACGAAAATCAGGTACTCGCTCCACACAACTGCCTCCCCCTTTCCCTTCTTGCCTCTTTACAGCCCTTTTGCTCCTCCGTTACTGATTTCGCTGCTTTGTTGAATTCCGCCCAAACACAACGATGGCTTCTCCCGAACCCACACCAGCGCCCCTGCCCGCTATGGACGAAAACGAGGACTGGCCCACTCAGGGCACCTACGAGTACGCCGACCTGTACAGCAGCCGCGCAGAGATCGTACCCTTCGAGCGCATGTCCGCCGACATAACAACCAAGCAGTACGACTTTGTAGTCATCGGCGCCGGGCCCATCGGCGCCGCACTGGCATACAAGTTGGCCAAAGACGAGCCAAGGCGCCAAATCCTGCTTGTTGAGAAGAACTGGTCCGAGCCCGACCGCATTGTCGGCGAGCTGATGCAGCCATCGGGGTGCCAGGCGCTTGAGGAAATCGGCCTGCCCCATGTGTTCCGCGGCATCTCCGGCGTGCCCGTCCACGGATACTACGTGGCATATAAGGGTGAGCACATCTACATCCCGTACCTGAAGAGAGAGAAGAACCCACAGACGCGGTATAAGGGCGTCAGCTTCCACCATGGTCGCCTGGTAATGAACCTGAGGGCGGCGTGCAAGTCCCGGACAAACATTACGTGCCTGGAGGCATCGGTTACAGAGCTTATCGCTGACTACAAGGTCGTCGACGGGAAGGAACAGATGACCAAGGTGCACGGCGTGAAGATTGGCCCGTCGAGATCGTCGGGAGATGGAAAGGACAAGGAATTCACTATTACGCCCAAGCTGACGATGGTGTGCGATGGCATTACGTCGCAGTTCCGCAAGATCCTCAATGACAAGCCCATTAACCTCATTTCACACTTCTGCGGCTTCGTCCTTGAGCACGAGCCCGTGCAAACAGACAAGTTCTTCGACGGACCCGAAGGCGCCACCACGCACGTCTCGCTGCCGCAGAGCCCCCAGTACAATCCCCTGCCGATGCCCCACAACGGCCACGTCCTCCTCGACGGCAGCGGGCCGCTTCTGCTCTACCAGATGTCCGAGCGCGAGACACGCGTGCTCGCCGACCTGCCCGGCGGCGTCTTGCCATCCGAGTCAAACGGCCAGCTGCGCGAGGCTCTCCGCACATCACTATCGAAAGCAGCGCCAAAGGACAAGTACCCCGGATTGAACAAGCTCTTGCTGGATACCCTGGAGAGCGCCAAGAGGATCCGCTGTATTGGCAACAAGTTCATCCCGGCCACCAACAACCGAATCGACGGCGCCGTGTGGATTGGTGACGCCCTCAATGTCCGCCACCCGCTGACCGGCGGCGGCATGACTGTGGGGCTCTGGGACATCGTCATATTCTCCAACCTCCTCAAGGGATTCAACATCAGCAGTGACAGCGATATGCGCAAGCTCAAGGCGAAGTGGTACTGGCAGCGCCGCCCGCGCGCCATGGTTGTCAACACGCTCTCTGTGGCCCTCTACGATCTGTTTGCCGCCGAATCGAAGGAGCTGGGTCTTCTGCGTGAGGCTTGTTTCATCTACCTTGGCCGCGGCGGCAAATGCACCATGGACCCATCGGGATTCCTCTCGGGCTTGATTGCAAGCCCGCTGATGCTCATTTACCACTTCTTCAGTGTTGCGCTGCTAGCTGTGCAGCTGCGTATCTCGGATGAGTCGACGGCGTACAAGGGCGGAAGCCTCGTGTGCCGCATCTACACGGCGTTCTACACGCTCTGGGTGGCTGCCTGCGTCATGCTTCCACACATGTGGGAAGAGGTCCATCCATAGGCCGTCCCTGCTTAGTTATTCCCTCCAGCGCTTCAGTTTCTTAGATCTGCACATACCGAATGACATCTCAAACAGCACCAAAAAAAAGAAGAAAAAAGCCAGCCGTGCGGAGCAAAAAGGAGGCAAAACTGCCGCCCCACGAGGGGTTCGAACCCTCGACATTTCGGTTAAAAGCCGAACGCTCTAGCCAACTGAGCTAGTGGGGCAGAGGAAAACATATCCACCGGCCCCGAGGATTTTACACATGTAGCCAACCCAGGCGCGCATTCCTCGTTGTTGTGATTTCCACGCCATGCCATGCCAGCGCACTGCTGACTACAAATGGATTTAAAAGTGCAGCTGTATTTAACAAACTATCTATTACAAAGCGAAAACAAATCAAGGCGGGGCAGAGGCAAAGCAGGAAGCCTGGCTGTTTATTGGCACGGCGTCTCCATGTGCTTCTTCAGCGTATCCTTTTTGGCAAACCCCTGATGACACCGCTCACATGCGTACCTATCGGCTCTCTCATGCAGCACCGAGTGCCTCTGCAGGTCATGCTTTCTGGTAAATGCCTTGGTGCAGTGCATGCACTTGAACGGCCTGGCCTCCTTGAGGTCCGGGAAATGCGTCAAGCGATGCGTCTTCAGGTTGTACTGCCTGGCGAACGACCTGTCGCATATATCGCAGTTGAACCTGCGCTCCTGGTCGCGCTTGTGTGGGGTGACTCCCGTACGGCGGCGCTTCCTCTCTGCGGCACTGTTGTGCTGGGAGTCCTGGCTGTCCTCCGCATCGTCATCCATCGAATCGTCGTCCATCAGGTGCCTCTGCTGCTGCTGATGGTGCAGGTCGCCAAAGCCATGGCCATTGCTCATGCCATGGTTACTGGGTGCTACGTTGAACGTCGGCATCTGCGAGAATATCGGCCCAGGCGCGTTCATGCTTCCGCTATTATTGCCCTGACTGTTGCTCATGTTAGGAACCAGCCGTGTCTGCGAAGCTGCTGCCGGAATAGTAGACGCCAGGGAGGGCAGTGACGGCGGCGGATGAGGGTGGGCCACGGGCTGCTGAGGTGTGGTGGGCCAGGCAGGCGGTGACCGAAGCAACTGCCTCCTTTGCTGCTGCTGATGGAGGTACCTCTGGCTCTGCGGCGACACATCGTTGCTCACTGGCATGACGGGCGAAAAATTCGATCCCATGCGCGGGATAGCGCACTGCTGAGTCACAGCCGCAGGCTGTCTCTTCAGTGGCTGCGGGCGCGGATGCACAAACCCACGCTGTACCTGCGACGGGTTGGCCGAGTATCCGTTTTGCTGCGACAGCCCCAATGCCTGCGGCTCCGAGTCCGAGCAGACCTCATCCAGGGGTGCAAAGAACGACTCGGTTGCCTGCGGGACTAGGTCATTGTGGAAGCTGGCGCTAGTAAGAGCCGACGAGTTTCTCAGCAGGCTCCTGCTCCGCGCCATGCGTCCGGCCGCCAACGCCGCCACAGCCGCCGACGTTGCGCTCATTCCCACGGCCGTGCCCGACCCCACGATTCCAGGCACAATGCCACGGTCCGTCATGGGCGGGGACGAAAGGTGTTGCGCAAGGCTATTCTGCGGCTGTGACATCAGGGTGGCGTCTTCTCCGTTCGACGTGAGGAACGGCGAGCCAATGGCCACCGTAGCCTGCGACTCCGCCGACGGCGCGGACACAATGTTCTGCGGGCGCGCGAATATGTCCGAGTTGGTGCCGCGAGCGTATGTGGCCGACGCCGCCAGGAGCGAAAGCCCCGTCTGCGCAGTCTGTGTGCGCGGGCTGAGGGCGTTGATGTCGTTTGTAATCGCCCTTTCCCTTGGCGTCTCCATGGTCACCGAGTCGTCAAACATCAAGAGGTCTGGCGTGGGCTGCGTCTGGGGGTCCGGGAGCGGGCGCGTTTCGGGGGTAGTAAACACTTCTGCTGGGTGTACAAATCCGGGGAGCGTGTCGGTCATCATGGGCGAAACCGACAGGCCCTTGGCACTGTGTGTATGTGTAATTACCGGGACCGCAGAGGTCGGCATGGCTGCGGTAAGGACACCTGACGATGCTGTCGGGAACGATGTGCCAGCGACCATCTGTTGCTGCTGTCTTTTGGGCACACCCACGTTGGCTGCGGCTGGTGCTGCTATGGTTGCTGCTGCTGCCGTGGCAGCTGCCGATGTTGCGTGTGGGGACCCGATGTAGGCGCCAAGATTCGCTGCTGTGGTTACTGGGTCGTTGAGGAATAGCGGGCTGTTCATGGCAAACTGCAGGTACTGCAGGCTGACTGGCGAGTTTATGTCGTTCAGCGGGTCCGTGGCTCGCGAAGTCATGGCGGCTGCTGTGGCTGCCGAGGCCGCGCTAGTGTTCGTGTTGGGCGAGAGAAATTGGGAGCCAAGTGGTGCGACCATTGACCGGCCGTCGACCTGGGTGATGAAGGGTGTTGTGGGCGCAGATGCGAAAGAGAAATTCATGTGTGTAGCGGGCAAGATTGCTATCTAATTTGCTAAGCGCGCGGGGCGGATGGTGTTGATTTGAGTAAGCGCAAAAATATATAATATGCTGTTTTGGTTAGCAGTTTCAGGGGGTGGGGTGGAGTGCTGCGTGCAGACAATAGGTGCTTTTTCGGGCTCAGAGCTTGCTAAGAGAGTGGAATAGAATAGTACATCAAGCGGTGAAGAAAAATAAAAATAAAGCGCAGCTCGTGGAGCGAGGGGCTGCGCCTTTTTATATTCCTCGCACGCCCAAGTCCCGGCCCTCCCCCAATCAGCAATTTTTCTTCCCTCCCGCTTCTTGGCGCGGCAGCCCTTGAAGCCTGAGCCATTTTTCCCTCCTCACGGCTATATTTAGATTTCTCAGCCTTTTTGTCATCAGCCTCCCCTTGCGTTTTCTGTTCCCGTATCTCATCCCTCGTCTTACAAGGAAACGCCTTGTTAGTCCGTCCTCATTTGACCTCTCGGCCGGAGTTTGGAACAAAAGGAACAGGAGAGAACACACGTCACTATTGCCTTCCTTATTTCTTGGCATATGCTCTTGCACGCGCCAAACACCCGAGTGCTTGCACGGCTTTTTGGTTTTAGTAAGCGCACCAAGCGCCATTACATGTCGATTACACACACACACGCAACACACGACCTATTTATGACTCTGTGCTTTTCTGCCACCACTACAGGCTCACTGTAATTCCATCGCACTTTGGATGTCCCAACATGCTGCTTGGCGTCTGTCCGTGCCCCCACCAATTCTCAAGATAGCGTCGTGTCTTCGGGAAACTGTCGACACCATGCTGCTTGCTCAACAGAAGTTGCATTGCGGCCAATATACCTGCATGTTTCCTCTCCCGAAAGCCAAGCAAAAATAAACGCCCGAGCTATGCTATGCTTTTCGGCATTTGCTTTTTTATATATAGCTGACTGGCTTATTCAGCAGATATGAACAATCGAATGCAAGTGCATAGGTTGGGTTGGGTGTGAATCGCCAAACATGCATAGCGCCATGTATGTGATCGTGGGGCAACATGTGTGTAGATTTGGGGAGCGAGGAACTCCGTGCCAATTATTCAGCTTTCCTGTATTTTCCTGCCGCTTCTACTCGATTATTGACAAATGGTGCCTCTCCACTCCTCACCCACAGAGCACTATGTCTGGATGCCCGTATATAATAAAGTGGCTGCAGTGTGCCTCGGCTCCGACACTAATTTGCTTTTATGCCCTGAGGCGCGCTTTCTACATAGTTCTTGGCATTTGCTAAAAACCCACGCAGCATTATACATGGCCGACTATCAGCATTGAGGTAATGGCCATGCACACCGCTTTCAGCAGCGGCCCCGGCAAGTTCACTCCGCCGCTCGCGCTTGATTTCCGCAAGGAGGCCGCCGAGTGAATGGCACTGGCGCCAACCGTGGTGCACATAATCGGGAGCGAACAGCTGGCCGCAGAACTCGTTGCGCCAGTCACAAGTGGATCGTCAGCAGTCACCGTCGCGGGTGCCGGGATGGTTGCCGTAAGCATCCTGCTGTCCGCCGCCGCCATCCCAGTCTCATGGTGCAGAACACCAATGTCGTATTCACTCGCCAGCTGCGCAAAGTACTTGTCCGTGTACTGCACCTGCTGACCGTTCACTAAGTTTGCTGCCGCAAGCCCCAATAAGTGGTGCAAGCGCATGTCCGGGTGCACCTGGTCGTAAAACACGTAGTCGGCAGGGTCCGCACACGCGCCTCTGTTGGAAATACAAGAGTGGGTGGTATTCTTGGCCCCTATGGACTTGGCAAACGTGGCGTTCGCTGCTACGAGGAGGAAGGACTCGAGGTCAAGCATCCACAATCTCGCTGTGGATGCCGATTGTTCAAACCCCAATAGAGACTCGCTGAACAGCCTGTTTGTGGACTTGACAAAGTCCCGCAGCAGGTCCACATATGCCGAGGAACGCCAGAGAGGGAGGACATGCAAGGCTGGGAGGTTGCCCACTAGAATGCTCTCGAACCCCAGCTTCGATAAAGCGTGGAGCTGCTCGAACACCCCCTGCACTATCTGCTTTGAAAGCTCCACTGTGAGCGTGTCAAACGGCGGTTGCTGCTTCAAAACGTCCGTCATTCCCGCAGTCACAACTGCAATGCTCCCGCGCACACCGGGTTTCCGCCTTATCCAGTCCCTCTCCTTCTCAGCAAAGTCCACCACTTGGCCATCCAAGCTGGGTATTTGTATGCTAGAGTGGTAGGTGGAGCTGGCCAGCGTGCTGTTGATTGTGGATTGCGCATAGGCGTAGCTGCTCAGTTTGCGGTCTAGCAGAGTGGCCATGTACTCGACAAACAGCGGCCCGTTGGTGAATCGGCCGTCATCGTACCCGATTCTGCTGTCGCTGGCCAATCGTCGTAGGTTGCCTGTGTCGCTGTAGTCGTCGCCAAACGCCAAAACTCTGTTGGTGTTTCCGGTTACATCGATGCTGCTGCAGCTCACTGGATATCTGAGCGCTATTGCGTGGAGCAGTGCAAAAAGGTATGCAGCCCTGTGTATCACATGCCAGCAGGCGCTGATCTTATTGTTGTACATTGCAGCTGGCAAGTAGGTCAAGTGCTCACTGTATATTCACTATATGAGGATGCCTTTTGGACAGAGAGCAGCAAAGCGTGAAGGCTAGCTCGTTTTCCCGTACCAGCCCACCCGTCCATCCACCCACTCTTCGCGCTTCTTTTGGTACCGGCCTCAGCGAAAATTAAATAGATATG